GTTACTGATAGATTATAACATTTAAAATTATGATGGAATATTTAATCAATGATTTTCTCCAGCCAATTCATTTTTCATTGTTGTTTTATGACGCTTGTGGAAAATCATTAATCTGTAAGGCTTTAGGGGTATTTACAATGTAAGTACTCGATCAGTAGATTCATCTTAGTATTATAAATGGAATTGCCATGGATCTTCCAAGCGGCAGTTGACAGAGATCTCTATGTTGGTCATGGGCCTGGTGTGCTTCTCTAATATATGTTGGAGGAAAGTTCCCTCTCTTCTTAGTGTTCGCTGATTCTTTTTTTCTTTTTTCTTCATCTAGTTCTTCTTCTTGTTCTTTTTTCTTGCATTTTGGTTTTAACCAATTCCTAAAAAAAAAAAACTTTATGGAAATGATATATCAAAAGGTAATGAATGAGAATTTAAAATGTAATTATTGTGTAGGTAGATTCATTTCATATTTGTTTTTGCTCATAAGAGTAGGTAAAACATTATGCATCATTTAGTGAGAAGAGCACACAGCTATGGATAAGGTATATTATGCCTCTTTGAATTGTTAGAATAGATAGTTGTTGTGACAGGAAGGAAAATTTAGGAATAACCACACTAAAATGTGGCATTGAATCTGCATGAGAATTATCTGCTTGTCACTGCCTTATTTACACAAAATCATGTGCTTTATCTGTACATAATAAAGCTTTGTCTAATGATGTTGTGTACTTGTTGTTGTTTACATTTTTTTATTGTGATTTAAGGCTTGACCCATGAATCTATTGATGATGTATGACTATTCAAGCTTTTCAGTAAAAGGTGTTAGTATGGTATAAAAACTTCCAGTTATGCTTGTATGTTAATAGTGTCGCAAATATGACACCCTGTTTTTCACTTGCAAGTGGACTTAGTGGATCTGTTGTTTTTGAAATGTGCACAGATGTCAAATACAGACAATTCTGGGTAGTCCTAAGTAGCACGATTTTCATCTGTTTTGTACCATTAAACACTATATAGCTGGTTATCAGTAGACCTTTTTTGAGATGTGTCTTCTATATAGTAGTAGTAAGTATTTTACTTGCTCTTTCTATTTGGTAAGTAATAGGGAAACTGCTTTAGGTCTTTGTAATACTATCTTCAAAACACGGTGGAGCACTGATTGATGTGAAGTAAATCGAATCCATACGTTTACATTCATCCGTCTCAAGAGTTAATCAAATTTGTTGTCTTCATTCTCTGTGTTTTGTCATATATTGTTTATCCAGACTTTATAACCAAAGATTGTAAAACTAATAACCTTTTTGAGTGATGTATGAATTACTGTCTAGAGTGTGTCATTGTCCTAAGAATAATAGTATGTATGTTTGTTTATAGAGAGGTAAATAATGATAATTCTATTTGATTTTAAGTTTATTTGATGATTTCATTAGGTTATAAAAAGAGTATATAATATATTTGAAACCAAAGATTATATAGATCTGTAATCCTATTTTTCTGTGAGAATCCAAACATATATTTACATATTGAATATTGAGTTGCAGAACTTTTAATCTGAAACCTTTTCCATTTTGTTTAACAATTGCCGTTTTTGTATAACTGAACTGGTAGTCTTGATTTCTGCACAAAAATGTTATGCAAGATCATACTGGTTAAAGTTAAACATTGTATATTACAATGTAATTATTATATTTTTGAAGATTTTTTATTTCATTTTCTATTTGTTCAGGTATTTTGCTTGTTTATTATTTATTTTAAATCCAAACATTGTGTGTTTGTAATTGCACTGTTAGTTGTGAAGATGGACTTTGTAATTGTTCAGAGTTCGTAAATAAAAATTGAATGATCAAGACTTTCTTCTATAATACCTATGTAGATTGTAACTTAGCATTTGAATTTATTTCATATTTTAATTCCAGGAATCCACAAACCATATTCACTACAGGAGTACTTATTTGTAAAGTTGTAAAATATGAATTTCTGTAAATGTAAATCATTATTGTCATTCAGTTTGGAAATATCCCTTTCAACCTCATAGCATAGTTATTGAATGATTACACTGCCTGTCTGTCAGTGTCTAGGTATACTCACATAGTGTGAAATGACAGCCTGTCTGTACCTTAGCTGCTAAAACCAATAGAGAAATTAACCACTTGGCAATCTCACCCATGCAGAGTGAGGCAATTACAGCAGTGTATTTAACCCTATAGTGACAAGTACAGCTATAGCTGTACAAATGTACAAATTTCTCAAGTTTTACACACACACACACACACAAAAACATACACACACACACAAACACAGAGACAAATTTCTGGATTTACTGGATAAACAGAGTGACAAAAACAGAAAATATAACTTATGTTTATCTTTCAGGGAAGATATTGATTAACAAGTGTGAGGAATAGAGAGAGTCCCTTTATCCAATATGCATAATCACCCTCATCTTATATCCACTTGTAATCATCATCCAACTGCATGATGTGAACATATACTAAAATATATCCTTTCTTTATCACCACAAACTAGTTTTCTTTAGTAAAACATTTCTCAAAATTTGAATTTGTCAAAAAAATTGTAGATGCAGTATAGTTAATCTGAGTCCATTTGTGACTGGTAAATGGGATAATTAGATAGTATAAATTGGATTGATTGCAATATTATTTTGTAACCATGGTGGAGTACACAAAATGCATTGAGGTCCCTCTACTATTTCAAACTCAGGATACAACTGGGATTTAAATAATATACTTGTTCTTTACTTAGCATCTATAAAATTGGCTGCAATGGTACCTTTATTTCTCTTCATGTGACGGAAAGAAAAACACTTATGCCAAGAATATATTTAATTGCATAAATCACATACTGTACTCTACATACATGTCAGAGAATCCAGTTTAATTTTCTAAAAGGGTAGCAATATATTCAAGAGAATCATACTACATCAAATTTCATCCAATGTGGCAATGATTTTCAAATATACATGTTTTAAAAGGGTTGATTCCTAGCATTATAAGATTAAGATATTTTACAACCACTGCTCCCAAACAAAATGTTAATGCTGTTAGAATTTAAAACTGGACAATATTTTGGAACTTCCAAATTACAAAAGATACAAACCACCCACATCTTTCACATAGCTCCTATCTGATGAATGACATAATATAACTTCAAGAACCTGGATGAGATCACACTTTGGGGTTCTAATGTAACACCAGAACATATAACAAATAATTTTTGTTGCCGAATATTAGTTAACAAAATACAGCTACAATTAAACACTTTGTTTTAGTAATATTGTGACTTTATTTATCATAAAACTTTAAATTTTCCGTGGAAAAATTCCACAGCAAACATAATTTGCCACACTGGTTAAAAGTTTAAGAGAACAATCCGTAAATTTACAATACTCAAAAAATAAAAATATCACAAGAGGATTTTCCCTCAAACTTCAAATAAATTGCTATTATTGACACCTAACAATGAAAACTACCCATACATATAATTATGCTGCATATCAAAATAAACCATTATGAAGAGTTCATTTGTTCTTTTAGCAGTTGCTCTACAGAGGCCTGCAAATCTGAAAATTGATATATATGATGCTCGATGAAGTTTGAGAGTACAATCCAATATTTCAATGGATCAAAAATAAAACAAAACAAAAATATGAAACATATATGTATATATATTTAAAACAAGATAAATTTTAGGAAATATATTAATCAGAAATAAAAATAACATCCTGTTTAACCACATATAAAACCAACACGTAACAAAGCATCTAAAGGTGGTTTTATTGCCACTCAATAACTAATGTGTACTGGACGGGAGGAAGTTCACATACACAGAAAGGAAGGGAGAATTAACTGGGATGTTTTAAACATGGCATAAAACACACAAAATGAGACAAAATCATATCAGATGGGCTGACTTACTAACACAAGAGAAAAGACAAAAATAAATTTCTAAACTGCAATGTCACCTAAACCATTGCTCTTCATGTAAAAAAGAAAATGATAAATGATAAAAGAGAGAGATTGAGAGAGAGAAAAATAGTTGCTGACTGTCTTTTACTCTTTCCATGAAATGCCTTGAAACACACAGATTGTTGTGTTCATCATGAGTCAGTGCAGGGAGTATATTATGACTGTTTTCTCTTTGGTGTTTTGAACATGAATAAACACTTTCACAACAATCTTTAGGTCCCGGTGTAATGCAGTATTCCAGTGATATGACAACAATGGCTATCATAGCCTTTCATTCGCCATAAAATATAGATATATATATATATGTATGTATAAATATGTACACAAAAGTAAGTTATTTTGCCAATAAAACTACTGTCTTTGGAGAGTAATGAGTCAAAAGTCTGCTTTTGCATATGAGTTGTTTGCAATTGAACGGTATTCTTTTCAAAATTATTCACTGGCAAAAACTAAGCACTAACTTTTCAACCTTTCCTGTCAAATACTAAGAACACACATAATATCAACATATCATAAAAGAAGCTCAAGAAGCACTCACTTACTGCATAAATCTTATATGGCTCTCTTTGACAACTGTGATTTAAAAACTGAAAAAAATTACACTGCTAGATCATTTGCATAGATTAGAAATATTCCATAATTAGTATGCCAAAGTAATTAAAATTACAAACATTCATTTATGGACATGTTCTCTAAAAAATTAGGGGTGATATATCAAAAGCTGACTTGCCATGCTTGCTCAAGTTGTATTTGATTTGATATAATGAAATATTACAAAAAAGTGACTACCTTATGCATCACTTTACAATATATTGATAGTAATGTGCTCATAATCATTAATAAAGAGCAATGAAGCACCAAGCATAAAGAGGTCATTGTCAACTAGAAGGAAATCTAAATTCAATACTTGGCACAGCCACAGTGTGCTCTTGAGCAAGAGCCGACAGTTCAAGCAGCCAATCTCGCATAAGCACTGCACATCTTGCAGCGTGTCGCTTGTGACCTGCTGTGCCAGCACTC